ATTACATGTCTTCCCTCTAGTCTATCAGTTCAAAATTTGGGACGGCTATGTGCCGATAATTCTTGTGTAGCTTTGATACATGTCTTCCCTCTAGTCTATCAGTTCAAAATTTGGGACGGCTATGTGCCGATAATTCTTGTGTAGCTTTGAGCGAAAATTCTGAAACTGTTATTTTGAGTTCCATATGAGTTTTTATTACCTGTTTATTGCTGGAATTTTAACTTTACAAAATTTGTTCTTATGTAATCATATTTGTTTAGATTAACTCCATCACGTCAGAATGAAAATTGAGGGAGAGAAATTTTGAAGATAATGTCTAATCAATAATATTCGGACCGGCATGGCCAGATGGTTGGAGCGCTCGATTTGCAATCTGAGGGTCGCCGGTTCGAATCCCCATCACACAAAACATGCTCGCCCTTTCCAGTCGTGGGACGTTATAAGTGACGATCAGTTCCACTATTCGTTGGTAAAAGAGTAGCCCAAGAGTTGGCGGTGGGTGGGGATGATTAGCTGCCTTCCCTCTAGTCTTACACTGCTAAATTAGGGACGGCTAGCGCAGATGGCCCTCGTGCAGCTTTGGCGCGAAATTCAATCGATAACATTCTGACCAAACGTTGAAAGCTTCCATATTTGGTAATAAACATAATGGAATATTCGTAGCCGATAGGAATAAAATTAGTTTTACAAAATTACGAAATGTATTCAACAAAACTATTATGATATAAATATATAAGTTGACCTCTCTACTTACTGTAAAATATCCACCTGTGAAACAATTTCCCAATAGTCTTAGCGAGCCAGCAGTTGTGTTATAGCAGTTCACGCTCAACGCATTCTTATATCAGACTACTTATAAACGGACAGGTAGACTACATGAACCGTGACCACCAACAGCTAATCTGGCTCATCATGTCACGGTCACGATAGCCAAGTGATCTAAATTAGAAGTTTGGTTCCTAAAATGAGCGTGAATTAGTAAGAACTGATTGATATAGCTTTCACGAATTATCAACGGTGTTTTTAGATACTTATAAATTTTAATTTCCACCACTATAGTTCACCCTGCTATGCCTTGTACCTCTCCAAAAACGTGACGAGTTAATTTATTGTTGTAGTTACCTATAGATCCTATGAAAGTTTCCAATAGATGGCGCTTTGTGGTCTTCGAAGCTTCTCAAATATCTTTGTATACATAACAGGAAAAATTTACGCAAGAGATAGTAAGGACATTAAAAAAATATGATAATGAAAACGTTTAAGACACATCATAAATTTGTCTACTTCAGTAATATTTATAGAATGTATATTCTACATTGATGAATGATTGATGAAAGGGTTTAATCATCTGTCAGATTCTGAAAGTGAGCACTCCTAAATCTATCCAGACAAAACTAAAAATGGCTTCGTATCACGATGAAAGCAGACTCTGAAGTTCCTCGTCTCTTGAAAGATTGTATATTTCTTCATCTTTGTTTGGATGATTAGATAAAGTACGAAACACCGCCAGTAGGTGAGTCAGTGATTAAACACATACTGACAGTCGATGTATCGTATTGAGCAAACAAGAATAGTACTGTATCCCCCAAACACGCTGCCGCATGAGTTGCGTGGACCAACTTAAGTTTTATTGAGTTTATTCCTCTGTTTGCATAGCTGTCTTCGAAGAAATGGAACTTCAGAATGGATCCTGACGTTCGTGCTGCTGAACGGATTAGCTTCTGTACAAAGTGAGGAGGGGTGCTAAAAGGAATTCTCTCTGGGTTAAGCCCGAATTAGTGAAGGACCCGCCCCAACGCGCTCTCGTTTAGGAGATTTGCTCATGCGCCTTGTTTCCCCCACTGTTCAGAGTAGATTTGCAGAACCTCTTGGGCTCCCGAGGCGGTCCCTTGGTCTGTGTATTACTACACAGTAGAGTTCCTACCGCTGCCAAGTACAGTGGTGTGTATGACTAGTGCTGCTGCGGTATAAGTAGGAAGTAAACGTGTATGTTGTACCATTGACAAGCAAGTAACCTTGTTTTACCGCACAACCAGTCCAAAGTTAACTATATTTCGTCAGGCCAGTGTGCAAGTTTACAAACCAGTGAGTCGATTTGTTTCTACTGGTATGAGAGTATAGATCCAGGTGACGGACAGTGGTATCATACGGTATTGGTCACCAGAAGCGGCTGAAACGCGCGTGAGACAGTTACTATACGCTGAAGAAATTTTAACGTGGTGTAAAAAAACAAACAACGATTCATCTAATGCCATTTCCAAGGTTTTTCTTCTTAGCCTAAAGTGTCTCTTCCGTTAAGTTGAACGAGATTTTTACCGCTACGTTGGCCACGGAAGAAGAGGGCCCAGAGACTCTTCACTCGGCCCCAAGGCTGAAAATCGAACGGACATTCGGCCACATACGCCGTCTTCAGCGGAGCATCTGGACGGCAGCCTATGCCGACGTAGTGCCGTGTTGTCCTCTGTACATCATGGCCCGTCGGCTGTTGCTTCCGCTGGCTGTGCTGCACGTGGCCCTGTTGCTGGTTCTCTTCCAGTGCCTCGCGCCCGGCCGAGCCAAACGGCTGTCACAGTGCCCCGTGGAGTGTGAGTGCCGTGGCAGGACAATAGAATGCAGCAACCGTGGATTACAGTTTGTGCCAAGAAATCTGCCACCCGAGGTCAAACGAATGTAAGTACACGAACTAACAATAGAGCTAATCATCTTAAAACCCAGGGTAGCTTCATCAAGGTTAAACCGTATTGATAAAATGCAAAGCCTTTGGGGCATATACCTCAACGAACTCGGCTCCCCACATCTTATAGAAGTAGAATCCTGCGTTTAAATGAAGAACAGAACATACTTCTATGACTTTGAAAACCTGAAAGGCCAATTTCTTGTTTCTCTCCCCATTAGCACCCCAACGATCTCGTCACAAATACACGTAGCTTCTCACTCTTCTTACGATTTATTTTGACAGACGCAATATCAGGTTTAAAAGATTTTTAAAAAATTAGAGAACCTTTTTGTTCACTGACTTAGAATTTTATTGAAAGAGTGCATGCTAAAATGTCCTGAGAGACAGAGGTTTATTTTATTCAGGCACCATTTTTGTAAGTTAAAGCATCACATGTAGCCATCTCACACAGAACGCAACGTTGAGTAACAACCGATATACATGCTAAAATGTCCTGAGAGACAGAGGTTTATTTTATTCAGGCACCATTTTTGTAAGTTAAAGCATCACATGTAGCCATCTCACACAGAACGCAACGTTGAGTAACAACCGATATACAGAACGCAACGTTGAGTAACGACCGATATACAAAGCGTGCTTCAGCTCGAACGAAAAGACTAACTAGGCACACCGAGATACTTCCTGATGAGTGAATGTGACCCATCAACAAGTACTTCTTACTACAATTAGCCATCATTATCTTGAGAACTTTTGTCTGATTAAGTCCAAAATTAAAAAAACAAACAGATAATACGTATCCGTACGCCGGACAACACGAGATCGTGCTGAGCTTATTGGAATTATTTATTTAATGTTGCACCCCAGCGGATCAACGTTAAGTCTGAGGGCTTATAACGCTAACAACCGGGTTTCGATACCTGCGATGGGCACAAACATAGATAACCCACTGTGTAACTTTGTGCTTAACAGCAAGCATCAAATATTTCCTTATTGTTTCAAACGTTAGAAATTAGAACTTTTGCGCATCTTCTGGTGTTTTTTTTCGGCGCGGCTTTCTATATAAAAAACAAACAAACTTAGCACTATTCTTAGAGCGTCTTGTTTTTTAACACTTAAAACTAATCCATTTTAATTTCTTATTTACAATTGAGATTAGTTATGTGATATTATTAGCATAACAGTATGCTTATAAAAACACTTTGTGGGTTTTCGAACGTTAATTTTAAGGATTTATTGTATTTCGTAAGAATTCCTGTACGAAAACGTGTTTTGAAATCTAACCTTACGGTAACCCAAAAATTACACAAGTCTCCTGTTGTTGTTGTTGTTACTGTTTAAACTGAAGCTCTATGACGAAGCACGTCCTTTCATTCTTTCATAAACAAATAAAATAAGATCGGGGCAAATTGTCAACAGAGTTTTAAATGTTTGCTCGCTCATGAAGCTATATAATTTTTAATGTCGATCACGAAAATCATGAGTATAATTCATTACTTGATTAAGATAAGGTTTGACAAGTATAACTAGGCTGATGTCAAGGGCTAGCAAGGTCGTTTTAGATTGTTAGGTGTTGAAGTTATTAAGGGTAGGCCTAACGAGGAGGAAACCGTGCTCAAAAAACCTTTCGACAGATATATAGAAAAAGAACTGGGAAATACTGTAAATGGTTGTTTAATCTAATTTCCTCTTTAGTTGTTCTGGTATAAATGTAATATGGTCAATAGCTTTTTTTTTCTACACAAAACTGTGATATAAATGGTGTCTTTTCTATTTCGTTTAATACTTACACACATTGTCATTTTTCCTTCCACTTACATCTTCGAAATTTCATTATTGCTTCTTAATCAATTTTTATGTAAAAATAAAATCTATTGATTAAGAGTTTGACAGCACGTGACCTATTGGTTATGGAGGACGAATTGTATAATCTAAGATGTATGGTTCGTGTCCTGCTTCCAAAAAAAAAAAAGAAATCGCGTTTTGGACTTTGGGGCTGTGGGTATGTTGTAAAAATGACGGTCACTTTTCACTATTTATTCAGAATGGAGTAGTCCAAGAGCTGGCAATGGTTTCTATTGACTACCCGCCAACCCTTTAGCCTATCAGTTGAAAATTGGGGATGTCTATACGTAGATAGTCCTTGAGTAGCTTTGTACACAAATCTGAAACAATCATTAATAGCAAGTATTTGTGAATTAATTCATACGTACTTTCCCTCCCTAGATAAATTATATTTTCAACTTTACTAGACTGAGACTGAGTTGGACTGTTTAAAAGACAAAATCCCGTAGGAACTAAAAGTTTCCTCAGTACATCCCGCTCATGCTCTTTTAAATTTACTTTTTTAGAAAATAAACAAACAAAAATAGCTGTAATAATATAATTTATTTGTGACCACCCTACATCCCATATATGGTTTAAAGGATCATCTTTTAGCACGTGCTAGAGAAATCTCATGAAGTACTTTCCAATTATTTTAGCAAACGTTAAACAAACTGAACGAAAACATAAACTGTAATATCAAGTTTTTCTTCTTAACTCTAAGGAAATTTCTAGGGTTTCAGAAAAGATTTTACTTGAAATTATTCAGAAAAAAATATGAAAAACATAAAAGTAACAGATAGTGATTGTGCTGAAAGTTTCAAACATTTATATATAAACTCTCTTTAGGATCAAATAGAAATTCTGTGTGTTTGAGTAGAGTACTTGTTTATAAAAAAAAAACGAGGCTTAGGACACTATTTGTTAACCCTAATAGGGGCCGGTTGTAATTTAAGTAGGCTATTTGAAGTGATTGAGGTAGATCTGTGGCGGTGGTGTATTTTAGGTTATTTTCTTAACTGTAAATAATATCCTTTAGAGAATAAAGTTTACATAATAAGCATGTGTGTGATTCGATAAATATTTACCAAAATCTAAATCACAGCAGAGAAATCTGAAACCTCTAGAACACTTGTGAGTAAAAATAAGAATATTTACTCAAATACTTTTATGTTAGTAGACATGGAGATTTTACTCGCTTTGTTCAGGATGTAAGTTTTCATCAGATAACAACTACGTATGATGTTAGCTGATGTAGGCAAAGCCCGGAACATCTGTAAAGTTTAGTGTGACACCTCACTTGATGTAAATCTAGGTAGAAACAGTATGGTTATCTGTGGTGCTTCACCTGATGAAGGCCTAGGCCGGTACGACACAGCTGTGATGCTTCCGCTGATGTAGGCTATGCAATAAAACACAGTTAAATGTGATACTTCACGTTATAATAGCTTGGCCTGAAAACCACATTTAACTGTGGTGATTCACCTGATGTAGACCTCGGCTAGAAAACTTGATTAACTTTGATGCTTCACCTGATGTAAGTCTAGGCCAAAACAACACAGCTAACTGTGATGTTTCACTGGATGTTGGCCTCAGACAGAATACTTCGTGTAAAATATGCATAATGGGGATTTTATAGGATAATTTATTTTTTAGGAAAATGCGTTTTATTATCCTCTGATTTATACGAGTTGTTTGAACAACTCGTAAGTGCAAAGTAAGGAAGATATAGTATAATAAGAATCCTATAAATTTAATTTAATTTGCCGTAAGATGTTAGATTTAATCATGATGTTAGAAAAACATGCTGGTTCAAAAACCAATTAAAGAAAAATTAATAAACCCTATAACCCCGAGCGCTTTCGAAAGGTTGACTTTATTTTCGTCTGTGGAAAACTAGGCTTATTATATTTTCAACATTACATTCCTATTTAAGTACCTTGGGGTTTCTGAAGAAGAGTGTATAAAAGTATTTCAACCACATTACGTCTTCCATATCTATTGCCGACGACGTGTTTCGCCCATTGCAGAGCTCATTAGGCCGGCTGCGACACAACAAACACAATAGTGGAGGGAACACTATTTATATAAGCGATAATTTTAGCCATTTGTTACACTCGTGTCCCTTGATGGGATAGTGGTAAGTTTACTGACTTACAACGTTACAATCCGGGGTTCGATTCCCCGCGGAGAACACAGCAGATAACCCAATGTGGCTTTGCTCTAAAACAAACAAATTAATAGTTGTTACACTCGTGTCCCTTGATGGGATAGTGGTAAGTTTACTGACTTACAACGTTACAATCCGGGGTTCGATTCCCCGCGGAGAACACAGCAGATAACCCTATGTGGCTTTGCTCTAAAACAAACAAATAAATAGTTGTTACAATCGCCATCTTAGAAAGATGTTCATACCATAACAGTGCTGAATTTTAGTTTGTGAACGTATCTGAATAAGTTATCAACAACAACAACAACAACAACAAAACACAAATAAATTATGTACAACAAAGACATTACAAAAATCTTTCGTTTTCGAGACAGTTCGTAGGATGTCAATGCTGCAGCAAATATTCTTTCTTTGTGTTTGGTTATAACGTTCTTCTGTAGGAAGGGATTATTGTGTAAGGTAGAGCGGTGTTACGTTATAACTTATATACGTATGCCTATGTATAAATCACATAAAGTACCAAACAACTAAGGTAAAGTGTCATTTTTCTAGCGTTTCTTAAAAACATCTAAAGAAAATTTTGAACTCATTTCTAATGTGATTCTCTGACAGAATATATTAAACAAATATATTTAGTACTATATATATATATATATATATAATTAAATACTGGTAACATTTTGATGTGGCATGCTTTATCAAAAGACTGTAAATTATTTACAGCCAGTCTATTTGGCTTTTTTTTTAACTACAGAAAATTAACGCAACTTATTCTAAAAAAATACAAAGTTGAGACTTAGCGATCTCACAATTGCGATGACAACTGTCTTTAAAATGATTGGATGACAGTTTGGCATGTATAAATTACTAGATTATTTTGTTTTAAACTTTGATTGCTAACTTAGGCTTATTGTCGCATGTAATACTACTTCAATAAATATTAACAGCCACGATTATTAGGACCACTTCCTGGTTAAGCGATTGCTTAACCATATCCGTAAC